GAAGGGACCTTTAAAGGCCACCTAGTCCCTCTGCCCTGCAGAGAAAAGGGATCTTTTCCAGCAGGTCAGATTGTTCAGAACCCCTTCCAACCTCACACTGAATGGTTCTGGGCAACTTGTGCCACTGCCTCACATCCTCATCATATAAAGCTTCTTCTTTATGTCTAAACTAAATCAACCCTCCTTTACTTTAAAGCCATTCCCCCTTGTCCCAGCACTTCCCAAGTCCCTCTCCAGCTCTCCTGAAGCCCCTTCAGGCTCTGGAAGGGGCTTTAAGGTCTCCCTGGAGCCTTCTCCAGGCTGGACATCCCCAGCTCTCCCAGCCTGGCTCCATAGGAAAGGTGCTCCAGCCCTCTGAGCATCTTCATGGTTTCCTCTGGGCCTGCTCCAACAGCTCCTTGTCTTCCTGTGTTGAGGGCCCCAGAGTTGGACATTGTTTGGGACAATATGTCCTGGCTCAGGCCAAAGTGTGATCACTCAAAAGCTGATGATGATACTCCAGCAGGAAGGAATCTTCTTGGTCACTGTGTAGTTTAATAACTTATTGTAAGTCCAACCTATTTCTAAGACTGAAACAGAGTGAACTCCCAGAGCACAATTCCTTGTACCTCAAGATGCAGTTTGGTGTGTTCAGGGGTCTTATTCAAATACAAATTAAGTCTGTCTCAAAAAAGACAAAATTAAACAGGAGTAATTAAAAAATGTAAAAAACTATATATTCTACCTACACTTTAATGTGATCTACCAACTTTTGCACAGAGCCCATTGCATTGCTGTGAGCTTTAGAGATTTCTTATCAAGACAAGAATACTGTTGAGCAACACTAAAAAAATTACATCCACAATGAATCTCCTAGAATAAAAATAGGTATCTGTAGTTTTTAAATATCACTTCAGAAACTGAATTTATATTTAAATATCAATTCAGCAATTCATAGGACAGTAGACCTTAAATCATAGAATCATAGAAACATAGAATCATCAGATAATCTGTGTTGGAAGGAACCTTAAAGATCATCTAGCTCCACCCCCCCTGCAAAATAATCAGAAAGTGGAATTTAACTTAGATTTTTTACCATTTTGCTGGCTTCAAGACAGCTTTAAGGTAGTCTGTTCTTGTAGGGTAGTTATCTTCCCTGTTTATTCAAACTTGCAATGTCCAATGAAGCATTATGGTAGCTACTGCAACTGAATTATTGCCATATAACAAGTGAGTGTTGGAAATGTATCCTTAAACTAGCAGTAGAGTGACAGATGAATGGTGTTTCTCCTAATCCTATGGGAACACAAGTGAAACAGAGCACTCACAGCATGATGCTCTATGAATTCTTTTGTGTGTCAGCCCAGACTTCTGATGGGAAGTCTTTTTCTTGGGGGGAGAGAGCATTAAAGCTATAAAACAAATTATAAAAAATGGGCATTTACAGAATGAGAGAGATGTCAGCTTTGCAGTGACGTTGAAGTTTTCAATTAGCTACACTTGATCTAATGACATGACATGGAGAATGTGATAGTGGTTCTCACAGAAAGAAAGCAGCAGAACTGAAGTTGCCATTCACAAAATCACAGCCAAACCTGGAGTTGGTTTAACTATGGTGAGGAACCTGAGAGGTTCAGAGGAGCAACATAAGGACACAACCACCTAAAACTCCAAGTCTCAAACTGCAAAATAAGTAAAAAGTCAAAGATTTTAAATCAACAGGGACATTTTTGCCCCATCAATTAAGCCACATACCACAGGAACATCACCTCTCCTCTCTAAATGATTCTTAAGAGACAGAGGAAAGCCAAATAGCCATCCTCTTGCAAGGTGTCAGTTACTGTGGATTCTGCCATAGAACAGGCAAAGGAAGGGAAGTTGAATTCCCGAGCACCACCAGCTCTGGCTATTCCACAGCCCAAACTGTGCAATAAAAAAGGAGTGTGGATAGATTGCCATCACATGTGTTATTATCAAGAGACTGGCACACACTATGCAGACCAGTTCTGTGATCCATCTCTCCTACACATGCACAGTTCAGTTACATCTAGGAATGAGAATCACTTTTTCCATCTATAAATGCTCTTACTCTGAGGAGCAGATGTCACTGGTGCTTTACTGCTATCTCAGGAGAGCAGGATAGGAACTGTTATGAAGTGAGACAGAGGTGCTATTCCAGTTTTTACTTTGTTTTGATTTTGCCAATACAGATGGCTGGTTTGCCTCCACTTAATGCTAATATTGCAGTTTTTTAAAAACGTCATCTTATCACAATGTATTAATAAAATAATCTGTGTTATGACAAAGTAGTGTGAAGTCTATTCTTAATTTCTGCCTGTAGAAAAAGTATTTTAAGAGTATTCCACCTTGGATCAATGTCCCTCTGCACATTGCTGGTATTACTGTTCCAGAGACATTCCCTTTGCTTCAAGTTAAAGTCATAGGATACATCAGTAAATTCTATGCACAATCCTAGATGAGTGTCCTTTGCTTTTAATATGGCAGGGCTGGTGGCTGTATTTCAGTCAAAGAAGTGTAGAATTTTTTGTTCTCCTTTGGTAATGTCCCAAAGTGGCTCCTGACTCCTCGGTGGTGCAGATATGGAATGGACCCCACAGCACTGCAGGCAACTAATTCCTTAAAAAACATGAAGGCTTAGCTCTAGTTTTATGAAATGCTTTAGAAAGAATGAGTATAAACAATATTTGCATTTTGTATCATAACTGAAACCATACTGCTAAACAATCATATCCTGTTTAGCCCATAATGACATCAGAAATACATGTTTACCATCCATTCTGGACAGCTTAGCATGATTTCGGCCCAAGGCAAAGTGGAACTGAAATCATTTATGGTTGTCCAAACTAAGATAACCACACATTTCTAAGGTAACTGATACCTAAAAGGAACACTGCCCTTAGATTGAAGTTCATGATTTAAGTACACAAATTCCTTAAAAAACCCTGTTAAATTGTCTATTGGATTTCCTCCAGAATTTAGTGTGGATTAACAATCTACTGAAGAAAGAAAATGTGATACAGGAGATTAGCCCATCCACTAACAACTCTTCCTTTAGCAATGGATCACATTTCCTACTATCTTTGTTTCCTTTCCACTCACCTCAAAGTGACAAGAAAATCCCAAACAAAACAAAGCCAAAAATACATTAAACATTTTGAGTAGCACGTTTCAAACAGTCCTTCATGTTTTGTCATTAGATTTAGAGACTAATAAGACAGGAAGTAGATAGTACTGGCTTCATACCTGTATATAATTCCTTAATGTATTCTAAAATAAGACCTTGATTTTATTTTTCTCTTTTTTTAACATAGGAACAGGTCAAGAGTTCACAAAATGTAATGAAGTCAAGTAAAAGAGAGAATAATTACTTTTTAAATTTAATGCACACACACACACTACAGTTCATGGATTACAGTCTACTGACAAAATCCAAAACATATAGTCAGATCAAGAGAAAATATTTGATTACAGACACATTCCCTGACAAACATAGATTCAGATTTGCCATTGTCTACAACTGAGAACTTCATACTTTGATCAATTTGCGAAGTTCTTTAGACCTGAAACATACTATACTGTAAGAACAGAAGAGAGTGCAAAGTTAAGCACATAACCAATTCGTTCAGAAGAATGCTGTTATCTATTTCTGGGTGTACAAGCTCAAAGGATTTGCCTGCCTTTATGTAAAACACAACATTTTGCATAAATAAATAAGTAACAGGGTGAAGAAGAGAAACCACCAGTTTCCAAAATACAAACAGTGGTTAGATACAACTGTTCAATGACACAAATTCTCAGCTGGGGGGAAATGGGACTTGTTCCTAACCAAATTCTTAGAGAGAAGTGGTTCTTCATTAGGTTTTGATTTCTTCCCATTGCAGGGAAGAAAGGAGCAGAAAGCAGATTGGAAATGCCAGAGTTCTGAAAAGAAGCTTCATTAAGAAGAAAGAAAGTAGAATTACAACTAGCACAGGATAAAAATTCTATTATTTCTTATAATTTTCCATGAAATCCTGAAAGGGAAATGAAGCCCTAATAGCCAAATATTAAATACAAAAATATTACCAAACATATGAGCCACCTCAGCATTGAAAGGGGACTCAAACCAAAGCCCCCAGCTTCCAGTACTGAAAGGGTATAGAAATCACTCTACAAATATCAAATTTCCAACAGTCCTGTCCACTATGTTGATGTCTGAAAATTGATGGAAATTGGCTCAAATACTTCTCTGGAATTGTGAGTGTGCTCCCAGTACAATTTTGCCCTTGACATCAGTTGCCTACAGAAAACACGAAGAAGAATTGAGCAACTGAGCATGAAGAAGGATGAAGGACTCTTCTCTGCATTCACTGTGGACCAGATTACCAAAAGGCCAGGGTAGTCCTGCCCACCCACAGAAAATTAGTCAAAACCACAGACTTCCATGCTGACACAGCTACACTGCTTCTCAATCCCACCTAGCTTTATGAAGGTCATGTAGCACTGCATTTTTTAATGTAGACAAATTTTTTCTTAACAACATAGTACAGAAAATAGGATTCAAAATGATGGAGAAAAGAGTTTATACCCAAGTATGTTTGCGCAGAATATTTTAACTTCATCTGTAAGTTGTGTTATATGAAAAGAGTCCTGAAATGCTATTGAAACCATTTGATAAGAAGATAAATAATGAGAAAGGAAAATACTGTTGCGAAAAATGTGTATGGAATGTTTACAAATAGAATTTGCTTTCTACAGGAAGGAAATACAAGTACACAGCAGACAGAAAGATCCATAACTACCCTTCTGTAATCTTCCTTCTCAGCATGTGTGCTTGGATGTGAAGAAACATTTGAAGGAATAAGAAAAATATGGAAATAGGATTTCTTTAGACCATCTGGGCAAAAGAAAAAACATGTAACAATGATTTAATGTGTAGCATAAAAAAGGCATCAGAGCAGCATGATGTATTAAATGTTTCACAGTTTCTCTGCTGGGTATCAGTAAAAGGAAAGAATTACCTCCATGCGCTCCTGCTTGACATCATCAATCTCATCATCCTCAAACATGGCCAAGAGCTCTCCAGTCTGGTCAATGGAGTTGAGGAAGTCCTGGGCCAGCTTCTGCCGCTTGTTGGTGTTATTGCTGTTGAATTTGTCTTCACAAAGACAAGTAAAGAGCAACAAACTTAACCTATTTGGCACTTCCAAGCATCACTCAGAGTGACACGATTTAGAACCAGCACTGAGCAGAAAAGGCCTGCTCTTTATTGTGCCCCTCACACAAGCTGTGCTACCTGAACAAGGTGATGTCACTGCTCTGCTCCAGTAATAGCAAAACATCATTTTTAGTATTTTTTTAGTATAACCATGTCGTTTTTCATAATCTAGAGAAAACTGATCTGCTGCCCATATATCATTACTTCTCACCAAAGAATCCACAGTGGACACAGCTCAAGAGGAAACAACCCCTCTTTGGTAGAAAGAACTTGAGACACAGAGCAGAATATGTTGAGGAAATGTTCTTCCCTGAACACACACAGAACATCCTCATTGTCTACAGCCTCAAGCAAACTCTAACACGACACTAACATGCAATTCTAGAGGTGATGGACCATTCCTCTGCAGTAAAACCTCGAAGAATGCTGGCAAGATGATCTCTGTTGTTCTAAACAGCAGAGCACCTATAAAGGCAGTAAATTCACAAAAGAAAATTAATGGCTCTAATTATCAAAGCCTACTAGAAAAGGCATTCTTTAATTCCAGGATAAACTGCATTTAGGAAGCTTTTCATGAACATCTAAAAGGTTAAAGGGAATTGTTTATTTGCTTTAAGTAGTGACACAAGCTAAAGTATTAAAACCCCAAAGCTACCAGGTAAGAAGCTGTACTGCCACACTGCTTGCATACATGAAATATGAAAATAAAATGCTACAGGCAAATTAAATCTCAGATGAGCTGACAAAAACTTCATCACTGCTTGATGAAGTCAAAGCAAGAAGTACAATGTTTACCCAGCATCAATGTGGATGCTCAGAGGAACCAAACACAGGGAATTCATTGTATGGGAAAAAAATAATAAAAGGCTCTGAGAAAGAAAGTTTAATACAGAAAGTTGTGTGTGGACATTGCTAAATGTTATAACAGCATGGTAAGGTTTAGATTTGCCATGATAAGTTTTAACTTAACTTTTTACAACGGAAATGTTAGTTCTAATATCAATATAAATCAACAAAACTTTAAACCAGGAAACTATATGGCATAAATTAATATATTTTTAATTCAAAGTGCTTTTTCTTTAAATGCATTGGTAATAAAAAACTGTGACTTCCTCATGGAATGCAGAAACAAAAGTGTTTCCCATTATTTAAACTAGAGATTTAAAGTATAAAATGTTAAACCACACTGAAAAAACCACACACAGCATATATTAGTGTTCAGTAACTTCAGATTATAAGGGGTTTTTTTTTAAAGCATGTCAAAAATATCAATATCAAAAACTTTGATAATAATTTAACAAATGTCCATTCAATTGCAGGTGGTGCATTTAAAATACAGATGCTGAAATCAATAAGCCCTTTAATCAGGACCAGTTTCTTACTTCAACAGAGCTCTGACATTAAAGTCGTACTGTTCATCTGGATGGTAGATGCAAATGCTCACATATCTCAAATGGAAAAGCAGAGATTTTCAGCAAAATTCGTCTAAAGAGATTATTTTTGTGTCTCTACCAAGCAAGACATTAATACTATGCATTGAGCTGTTCAGTATTCTTACAAGACATCAAGCCTCTCCCAAATTAAATAATTTCTTTTTTTCTACCTTCGAGGATGTCATCTTCTTCTATTCCTTTGACAATTTTAGATTTGTAGTCTCGAAAAAACATGTATTTGAGTAGCCTTCGAAGCTTCTTCTATGAGAAAAAAATACATTTATATTAATGACTATTACATAGTTATTTCTTATTTAATAAACTTTGTAACACACAAACATACAAATGTGCAGCACATTACTCAGTAAATATAGCTTTTAAAATATTTTTCATATTAAATTCTGCAGAAAATCCATACACAGAAAGTACCTCAGGACAGTAGCAAATCCATATTAAATATTAACTGTTTGAGCTCCTTGGTACTTTGCTGTGAGACAGAAAAGAGTTTGACTTTCAGAAAGGAGAAATTCAGATATTGTGCTTCTTTGTGAAACTCCAAAGTGTTTGCATACTTTGAAAACTCTAGGCTAGAAATGCACATTTCCATGAACTTTGACTCCATATCAACTGCTGTTTTCAGAAAGCCTTACAGCTTTTATCAGATAAAGAAACTACAATTTATTTTCATGTTTTAGTGGGGTTTAATTTTGAAATAGTTCTGTTCGTTAGGTTTCACCTGTCAAACGAGGAAAGAAAAAAAAAAAGAAAAGGGTGAGAGAAAAAGGGAAACTAAGGAAGAAAAGAACATAAAGGAAGAATAAATAATGTAGTTAAAAATAGTTGACAATTTTTTAAATAATTATTAAATGTGAGGAGAGAAAATTATTTTCTTCCCTTGTTGACCGGCTCTACTTACTATCCAGAGAAAGCAAGGCCATACCTAAATTTGGAGATTTTAGTGGGATAAAACACAGGAAAATAAAATAAAATAAAGAGGATTTATAGACAGTCTGAAAACAAAACTATAATGATTACATTGTCAAACATCACATTGACACCCTTCATAAGCAGAGGAAAATCAGAATTATTGATTTTTATTAAAGGGACATAAATTATAGGGATTAATATTTATATCTTATTAAGAAATTGTTTTGAGCTCTTAGGCATATTATCTACCCTAAAGCTTCAGGAAAAAAAAATCAATTGATAATTGAAGCTATAGGAAAAAAACAATTTTTATTTCAGATATTACTGAGTGATTATAACATGCTCAATCACATATAATTGCAGAGCAGCTATACTTTTAAAATAAAGGTATTCATGATGATCGATTCCTTTACAAAGGTTAAGAAAGCACTTGAAAACACAAAACCAGCTGACTACATAAAATAAGAAATTTCTGTCTAATTACTGTACCTTATCTTTGCGCATTAAGAACAGGAGATCTTCAGCAGAGATGACTCGAGCTCCTCTCATCTGAGAAACTTCAGCTGCTTGCTGCAACTAAAATAAATGAATAAATTAGATGGCCTTTTCAGTGTTAAAAACTTTATTCACTGGGGTTTGTTTTAAATAAATTCAGATAATATTTTGCATGGTTGTCCATAGCAAAATACAAGCTGTGCACTAAAACACAAGCTGGGACTCTCAAAGGTGTCACTCACTCGAGTCTTGCTTGCCAAAAAGTGAATAACAATTTTATGAAAAGTCTTCCAGGCTTTTTTGACAAATCTCAAGAAAAAGCTTTTTTGTTTATATTTAAAATTATTGCTTTTAAAAAGTCCTGCTGCCATTTTTTTTTTCTTCTCTTAGCACAGAATATGAACATATAATTCTCTCAGGCAATGTAAAAATGCCAAATTCTTGCCATAGCACTTTATCTGCAGCTGTGGAAAGGCAGCTGATCGCTCTCCCAATTTTTTAGAATAACAAATATTAATTTTAAACAGCTTACCTAAGTATTTTTTGAAAGAAACTCTACCTCTACTTGACTTAGCATTAGTACAAAGCAGACTCACATGAAGAACTTTTTTAGAAATGCTCTTATTTCATTTGGGAGAAAGAAAATGAATTGATAGGCAACATCGACTCCGTTAATGAAGGAACTGAAAAACCTTATTGAACAGAACAGGCCATTCAGCTGTGAAAGTAATAAAGATGGGACTGAGCGAGGAATGACACAAAAACTGATAAGAGGCGGCCACAGGAGTGTGAAGCAATGGACTGCCCTCACATCTATTGTGACAGAGCCTACAAACGCCCCGAACGCCTCAAATTGTGCTGTGAAGAGCAAAAAACTTCTTTGTAAAGGACTAAGTACATCAGCTTTCAGTAGGTGCAGGAAATTGGGGTTTTTACACAAAACCAGAACAGGGTTAGAAACCTGGTAACCTGGGTTATCTGCACAGCTGATGCTTATCACTAAGAAGGTTCAACCCAAACATGCAGAAAGAGTCAGTGGGATTTGCTCCTTTCACCTCATGAGCCTTTGCTTCTGACTTGTGAGGTGAAAGGAGCAAATCCCATTATCATCACGGAATCACAGAATGGGCTGGAAAGAATCTTTAAAGGTCATCTAGTCCAACCCTCAGGAACAAGCAGGGACCTTCAGCTAGACCAGGCTGCTCAGAGCCCCATCCAGTCTGACCTTGAATTTTTTCAGGGATGGGGAATCCACCACCTCTGTGGACAAGCAATTTCAGCACAAAACATAATGCTGTAGACTGAGATAGAAGGGATGCTTCAGACTTTATCCTCTGAATTAAAAAACATAATTCAAAAAGCAAGATTTAATTGTTTTTTTGCCCTTAGCCTTGTTAACTCTCTGATGGAAAACTGACAGTGAGCACAGCACAAAAGTCATCAAAAGAAGAGACACCTTCAAAAATTCTTGATATTAAAATTCATACACACTTGTAACATGATCAATACACAACTATTTAATTTATGTTCAAATAGCTTTGTATTCTTCTTTAGAAATGCATGAATGCACCTGAAAATAATTTAAAGAAATCCTATCCTTCATACTCACACCAGCAATGGTTTCACTCAGTATCACTGGCTGAATAAGTATATTATTAATCTGAGCTCCCATGCTGCTATGACTTGAAATAGGCCTATTCAGAAGTTAAAAAGATCAACAAAAACAGTAGCTGTTTCTAATATCCAAAGAAGAGGAAAGGGGGGATGGGGAGCTTTCATTTTGGCAAGTGTTCAGTAGGCAAAAGATTCAGTCCATAAATCATAATACTGGACTGCATTAATTTTTTTCCACACTAATCACATGAACACAAAACATTAACTGTATCTGGTACACACAACACAAAAAATACTGCGTGAAGAGGTTCAGATTTTCCCCTTGCAACCCTCTCTTGGCTCTTGCAGTCACCGAGACCAGAGAGATTTCAGGAATTCAGAAGTCACAGTAACATAATCTCACTTGAAAAATGTAAGAATGTGAAAAACGATAGCTCTATTTTTTGGCATAAGCAAAACAGTTTCTTATTCTGATTAGTCTGAGGGCACGCAAGCTACTTATGTTTCTAACATAAAATATAAAGAGTTGGATAAAAAAAAAAATTACCAAGAACGAGCCAATATTCCTCTCTGGTGTAAATCCATTGCAGCTAATGGATTTATGCCAAGACTGACTTTGGCCCCACTGAGCTTAAAAGTGTTAGAAAACCTGACCTTAGCATGGTGATAACACAACACAGCTTTCCCAAATATCATGTAAAACAATGGCAGAAATATCCAAAGGGAAAGCACGCTCTAGTTCCCAAACATGCACAAGGATGATGTCTTGGCCCCTTCCAATCCAAACCATTCCATGACTCTCTAAGACATAAAGTTCAGGTATGTTAATTTCCAACCCTAGCTGAAATACCTTATTTTTCCAAATTCTAAACATGTGACAATGACATTTATAGCAATGGTTGTGTGTGAGCTGCTTGCAGGAGTCTTGTGATGAAGGAAGGGAGAGTAAGGAGCAAAGGCCAAATTCATGTCCCATTTGCATCTATGTAAATCCTGAATAACACTGTTTACTTTAATGGAGTTATTCTGGGCTAAACACAAGATCAAAATCTGGAATAATATTCTCAGTTTCTACCAAAACAATGAAAACTTTATTCTCGTATTGCCTCGACTTCTGCATCTATTTTATTTTAAGGAATGGACACACAGTATTTAATTTCTTTGGCTTTAAGAAAGCAAAGTACGAAAATAATTACTTCCTGTACAGTTATAAAATATGGATTATTTATTCAAACAGACCATAATGAGTTATGCATTGGTACATGTATTTACCTGGGAAACCAGGGTATGCTCAGGTAAATATGTATCCAAGCAATTAAATAAAAATTACGTCCCACACAGCCGAGGCTAGGAGAAGATGTATTTATAGTTTAACACACACATAATTGACTCATTCAAACCACAACGTGAGTGCTTTGCTATAATTAGTATTATAACAAACTGTCTTATTTGACTGTCCCAGAGTTGCCATTAATATGCAATAAGCCTGATTCCTGAATTTCTGGAGCTGAAGGCCCGGTTGAGTCATTACGTGATGAAGGGGGATTTCAGGAAGCCGTGCCAAAGAACCCATCCATCTCGGTGCACCCGAGCATTTGTCATTCCAGAAAAGTCTTCTCAGCTCTCTGAAATCAGGAGGTGCCTCAGCCCTGGCTGCAGCGGGAGCACGGAGGGTTTCATCCAGGGAGCAGCACTGCCCATGACTCCAGATGAGGGGTGGGATAGAAAATCCTGCAGGAACTGTTCATACAGGAGGTTACCACACGGTAACAGAGCAGTTATGGCAAGAATTTCCCACCATCTCCTTCTCCAAGCCTCGGTGCCAGTCACAGAATTTGGGGCTGCAGCAGTTCCAACACACTCACTTCTCTTAATTTTTTTAGTTTTGAAATTAGGTCCACATTGCAAAATATTTTATTTGGGATGATATGGAAGAACAGCAAACAATCTAAATTACTCAGCTTTTTTAAGAAAAACAGACTAAATTCCCTAATACCAGCAAACAATGTCTGAGACCTCAGAGTCTGAATATATTTTTTATTACAGCAGAGTTATGAACCCCTAAAAGTGAAGTTTAAATAACGGAAGTGTTGAAATGATTTTAACTATAGGAGCGCAAATAGCTCTGTTAATAATGAGGAGTTTATGAAAAATAAGCGTATTTTACAATTTTTCCCATTACAAAGAAGGTAGTATATACAGTAACTATATTTTAAAGCCTAAGAAGAAATGGCTGGGGAATAATATTTTAAAATGTAATCATGGGTTTAATGACTTTATGAAGTTAACTTTCTTGGCAGGATGAACTGAACTATGTTAACAGTCACCTTAGGGCTATTTTCTTTTTGCAACTTCTGCAAATTATAGATTTGTTGAAAGGAGTATTCATTCTCCTGTGACAGAAGCCCAGTTACTTCAATGGGACTGTCTGCTTTTTTTCTTTCTTCCAGAATTATTTTTTCTTCCACTACCTCCAAAGTCAACAATCACCGATACTTCTTCTACAAAACCGTCTTGATGGACAAACAGACAAAAAGTTGGAAAACAAACATACCGTGTTGTGACATAATCCTTCCAGTTAAACTGCAGGACAGAGCTGGAATGGTGATGTTTGCATGCCTTGGAACTGCAAGGAGCCAAGAATAATGCTGCAGGAGCTACAATTTTGTTTTCATTACACAAGAAAATTCACCTGGGTGAATTTTTTTTCAGAGGCAGGAAGGTTGTTGTGTTATTAAATATGCATTAAAATGTCCTATTTTCTCACCTTTCCTAGGTAAAAACCATACTTCTATAAAATTACCAAATAATATTCTGAATTAAGATAGAGTCCTGTAAATACATTCCAGAGCATCCTGATACTTTCATGAAGGCAACTAAATAGAAAAGGTAAATACAGGTTTTCACGTCAATCTTTCCATGTAATATTTCACATGATACTAACGGTGACACCTGATCTTCTTATTCTAACGCTCAGAGAGGGAAAACACTGAATTTGTTTCCAAAACTCAGCAAAGGGATGTGCTTTATTCACTTTAGCACATCCTGGGGAGATAATTACGTTATGGAGCCCATTAGAGCACCCTCACAGGTAACGATTCAGGATCACTGCTCAAGGGTTCACCAGCATGACTGAATCATCACAAGCTGTCTAAAACAAAAAAACATCCATCTGCAGATTAAAAGACAAAAAATTTTCTTACAATAGGTAATTAGTTTCAAATGTAAGTATTTTTTACTGAAGACTATTTAATATAACACCAGTTGATTATATGCAACCACTAGAAGATGAAGCTCTGTATCACATTTTGAGGCTTTAGAAAACATAGAATTGTTTAGGTTGGAAAATATCTTTGGGATTACTGAGTCCAACCCTTCCCCCAGCACTGCAATGCCACCACTACCCATTTGTCCCCAGGTGTCACATCCACACATCTGTTAAACCCCTCCAGGGATGGTGACTTCAC